TATTAGAAAAATGAAACTGTATTAGCTGAAGATGACTCCTACTTTGCCAACATTTATATTTGTGTCCCTTAGGCTTACTATTCTCACTGTTAAATATGAACAATGATGATGCATCAACACTATCAATTCCCTTTACAATCTTAAACACCTCAATCAAATCCCCCCCCTAACTCTTTTTTTTCAAGAGAAAATAATTTGAAAGATTTCAGCCTCTCCTCGTATGACAACCTCTCCATCCCAGGCACCATTCTAGTAACCCTTCTCTGAACCCTTTCCAACAATTCAATGTCTTTCCTAAGGTAAGGAACCCAAGACTGAACACAATATTCCAAATGTGATTCACTAAAACATAATTTCTTGCTAAATAATTTATATTTATCCACTTTTTTGTTCAGCAAATAATAATAATTTAATAAGTTGTGTGTTCCAAAAGAGTACCTTAAACTTAGATTATAATTGTGCTAGTTTTGATTGTTAGAACATTTCATTATGATTATATTTGCCCCCAAAACATTGTGTAATGGTATTTTGTAGTTTATTAATTTAAAAGCATTATTTATAATAAATGGTGCCATTTGCAAATAAATGAAACTTAAAATGGTGATGGTATCTATGTAGACCACATGCTATAGTAGCACTGAAAGTTCTTGTTGTTGAAATTGGTTTTTGTTGTTGTAAACTCTAAGAGAGAAACAAAATGAGTACTGGGGATGTGAATTAAAGGATTGAGGTCATTATGGTATAGGTCAAGTGCAATATTACAAGCTTCCTTGATGGGAACTTCTTTGAAAAGTGACGTAAACTCGTAGCTAGTCATTAAGGCTTTAGGGTTTAGTTGGTTTAATGTGTTTCTGAAGTTAAAGACATTTAAAAAAACAAACCAGCTGATGCTATATAAGGTGTGAGGACCTAGGCTATGTATTTACCAAGATTATAGTTAAACAAGTGATAGGTAGATAGTATATGTCGTATTGGGCAGCCCTCTTTGTGTGGTTTGGGAATGCCATAGAGTTGTGGTGTGCATGAGTCAGTTTTCCTTACATAAAAATATAGATTTTCAGTAATTAAGTTACCTTTCTTCATTTGTGACAGGTTTTGTTTAGTTATTATATATAACTACATAATACCAATATCATTTATAAACTGACATGTATTAACTGTCCAGAATTTTACAGCGGAGAAACTGGGAAAAAATTGGAAACCAGATTCACCGAACATAATAAAAAAATCCTTCCGTGTTTACCACCATTGCAACTCAAAAAAACTACAGTACATCTGTATAAAACACTAAGTTTAAACAAAGAACCAGACATCAACAATGCAAAATAGTTGAAGCTATCTTAATTGAACAAAATAGTCCTAGTCTAAACCAACACCCCAGGGTACCAAGATACATTTAATGAGCTGTTAAACAATCTCTGATCACGACATCTTTGTTCCATACTTTATATATATATATTCCTGTGTATATGTAAAATACTTGTAACTGATGATGACAAAATCATGTTGAAACGTTGTACATTTTAATATTGTTTTTCATTACCCATTCAAGCCATCTCTAAACTTTTAAGTTAAATAATAGTTTTAGTGATAAGCCTGCTGGACTTGAAGCTAATCATGGATTAAGAATATAATAATTCATTGTTCTGGTTGAAATAGAAGGCTATGGTATAATGGGAATTGCTGAAATTTGGTTAGATTTGGAGAATATTGATTTAGAAATTATTTGAAAATTCCAAGTTATAAGTTGTTCAATAGTGATATAATTTTTAAAAGAGTGTGCTGTTCACATTGGGATGAATTGCAATCTGTTAGTAGTGAAACAGAAAAATTGTAATGAAGAGTCTGAATCTTTGTGTGTTACAATCAGGGTTTTAAAGGTAGAAAGGTTTTAACTAGCAATTGTTATAGGCCACCTGACAGAAGAGTTCAGCAAGAAATTGTGTAATGAGATTATGGTTGCTATTGATAAGAGTACTAATGCAATAATTATGGAAGAATTTAGTTTTCAACACATTGATTGGGATTGTATGGAATCAAATAGTAAGGGGGAGAGATTTTTGGAAGTGATTTAGGATGGTTTTCTGTACCAAAAGTCTCCAAAAAATGGATTTGTTCTATAATACATTGAGGCTGCAAGTAACAACTATACAATCTAAAGTGGCTTCAGTAATACACGCTGCAAGAAGTAACATCATTAGTTTGTGTAGAGCATCTCAATTCTGCTAGAGTTGCCTTAGGTCTGTAAAAAGTAGTAATTGCTTTTACCCACTAGCAACTAGCTACCTTTTATTTAGCTAATCGTTTCCATGCACAGCTAGCAATACGTCACCAAGTCAGCTTAAGTCTATTCAAGAAGGCCATCCTACTTAGATTTAGATTATTAAATGTTTGATTTTTTCCTCTCTCTCTCTTTTGATTAAAAAATATGTATTGGCGTATTTGAACATGAATATGTTATATCTATTCATCAGACATTTTTTTACAGTCAGTGTAGAGCATTTTATATTAAATGCTTAAATAAACTAATGATGTTACTTCTTGCAGCGTGTATTACTGAAGCCACTCTAGATTGTATAGTTGTTACTTGCAGCCTCATTGTATTATAGAACAAATATTTAAATTTAATATAAAATGCTCTATACAAACAAGTATGGTATTTATTAACAAAATAATTTACTTTTAAATTCTCAACTCTAAATTACTGCCTTTTTTTCAATGATGTTTCCATAATCATACTTATTGCAAGAACTAAAAACCAATTTACCAGTTTATTTCAAGGTGTGGTTTGCTTAAACATGATGTGCAATAAATAACTTTTAAAACATGTTTTTTATTGCCTGTGACTAGAGTGGCATGATTAACTTGATTATTTGATATAATCAATTACCTATTAGCATTACTTTCATTGATTTCGTAAGATAAATAGATTAATAGAAACTACCATTAAGTTGATTAAGGTTATGGAAATAATCTAATCAAAATTAGTGTTTCAGGCTATTACTATTTTTGATTATTCCAGCTATCCAAATAATCAAAGTATTGCCATTATAATTTGTCACTATTATTTGTCGACCTTCTGCTTCTAATAGTGCTCAACTTCCTCCTGAACCTACCAAACCTATGATGAGTATTTTGACAGCCTTTTTCCTCCACCCAATTATGCTATGCTTTCATGCTTCTCTCTCACTGACTCTGTTAGGCCTAATTCAGCCTTTTTAGACATGATTTCTCAGGTTTGTTTCATTTTATTTGTTTCCCTGATTTCTTATAATCCTGTTTCTTCCTTATTACATGAAACCCTTTACTTCCAATATATTGTTTTCCTTCCTTCTTCTGATGTAGGGGTTCATGCTGAGCATTTTTTTTTCCTCAGTTACCCTCCATGGGCATGAATCAGTTTGCCTTAACTTACCATCAGGCAGATTACCCCTTTCTTGTTTCTCAGCAGTTAGAATCACTACTGCCAATATAAGGGGCTGACTCTGATAATCCTGTCCATTTATCTCAGGCCCAGTTTTCCCATCTTCGTCTTATCCTTACAAATCTCCTGCGGTACTTTTACACCATGCATCTTTTTTTCTGAGTCACTCCACCAATCTGAAGGATTTTTGGGGGATACCTTCTCCATCCTTACATTTGTATCGGTGTGATTATCCTTCTTGGCTTTATCTCTTCACCCATGATTATGCCGTAAAGCCCGCAAAGCATCTTTAGGCTACATCTTCATTTAATGATAAAAACCATAGTTTTGGGCTTTTCTTTGCATATAGACGCTTGATACATTAAGAATGACTGAAATAATAATTTGAGTAATAATTAATATGTATTTGTTACTTTATAGATTAAATAGATATTTGTTGTTACTTTATTAATGTTTTTACGCTTTTACTGTGAGGTAAAAATGGCTGCTGCTCTGATTTTGTCTGGTTTATTAGCTCGTTGCTGTCCTAATTTAGGATCTTTTTAATAAATTCTTGAAAATGTTAAAGAGAGAGAGAAAGGGGGGCCCTGCAAGGATGTTTGTCTCGGGTCCTGTGCTGGCTCTCGACATTCCTGTGAAAAGTGGAAAGTTTTCTGACTCCAATCTGTTACATGTATTCTGTTATTTGCTATTTGTACTTTATAGTACTGTTGCAAGCCTTGCTGCTTTAAATTCAACTGCTTATGTTTGCTTTTGTTACATGTATGCCACTTAGAGTTAAAAGAAATTCAAAGAGCTGTGATTTCAAAACTAAATGTACTCGGCTGACCCAGTAAAACAATGTCTATTGAAAACATATAACAATAATTAATCCATATAATTCTAATACTGTAATTACTTTGAAAATATATCTTTAGAATTGCCAAGTTGAATACAAAATTATCTTAACCCAGTTTCTTCAGGAAGGACAGCGATAATATTCATGTATGACTTTCTACTACTACACAAAAGTGCAATTTTATTTATAGAAAATTGAACCAGTTCAACGCGTAAGTTTTAGTAGCTACCTGCAGCTCTAGGGCTTTGTTCTGGTGTAACTTATGGTGCTGTAAGTCTTGTTTCTTTACAAAAATGTATTAACTCTGATTGAGAAGTAAAAATATACTTTCACAAATCTTTAGAATTTTAGGATTATTCTCAGTGTTCAATGTCAAATAAAAACTGTCATTTTAAAATTTTCCAGATGATGAAGCATGCATGGGATAATTACGTTCAATATGCATGGGGCCAAAATGAGCTAAAACCAATTAGCAAAAGAGGTCATTCTGCTGGAATATTTGGAAAAACTGCTATGGGAGCAACAATAGTAGATGGCTTGGATACCTTATTCTTAATGGGATTGAAGGAGGAGTACCAGAAGGGAAGAGATTGGGTGGCTGAACATCTGAATTTTGATCAGGGAATTAGTGGACAGGTACTGAAAAATCATAAGGAATTGTATAATATTAATTAATTGTTGCAAATAATAAAGTAGAATTAGTTAACAATAAATAGCAAGTCTTTTTTACTTCTATACTGTAAATAAGCTAATTTCTAGAATTGTTTTCAATGTTAAAACTTCTGCTTGCTTTTACATTGTAGAAAATAAGTTGTGGTAGAAATTGTGGCATGTTTTCAAATTCAAGAACTTGTGTTATTAATGTGTAGCTTCGTGTTATGCTATTTTCTGATGATCAAATGATATACCTCCATTATTTAACATGTTTTTTGTTGTTATTGAAGAAAAGTGCAAAGAAATGCCTATGTAAAAGCTACATGTATGAGAATTAGTGATATTCCTCCATAGTTTTCTTAGGAATTATCATATTTACATATTAAGATTATTTGGATTTGTAACCAGTTTTCCATATAAACTTGTCAATTAATTTGACTTTTCTAATTATAAACTAGAAATAAATATATTTTGTTGTCACTATTTTGGAAAAACAAAATGACAGATGTTAAAAGAAAGGTTGAATAATTGTAGCATGTTTGCTAAAAAAAAGTATTTTATAGTTCCTATTATAATGTATTTAAAGACAAAGAATTCACAATTAAATTATGTTGAATGCTAAGAAGGAAACAGAAAAAAAAAAGTTATACAATTTGCATTCATTGGTTTTAGAATGATTCAAGTTTGCTAGGATGTTAATTTACTGAAGTACAGCACATTATGTTAATATTTCCTGTAAAAGCTGTCATCACTGCATTAACAAAAAAAAGACTTCTCTTATAAAGCTTGTAATAATTGCATCATGAAAACACGTTGAAAATTTGATATGAGAGTAGCTAACATCTTTCTCAAGTGGGGTGTCTACCCTATAGTTACAGTTGCCTCCTTTAGATTCTTTGCACATATTTATGATGAACTTCATCCTCATTTCATCATTTATGAGATTATCACTTGACCTCCTGTCCTGATGTTTTTTTTACACAAGTCTGGTTCATTTGGTACTCAAGCAAACAGGAAATGACTTTTTCTTTTAAACACTCCATTTCTCTCTTTCAAAAGAAGGGTGCATACATCTGGTTGAGAATATCTATGGAATTTTTAAGAAACTACTTAATGTACAACATTATTTTGAATAGCAGTTTGGGCAAAGTATAGATTTACGTTATTTTGTATGACATTTATTTACTTAGTAATGTTCATTTAATAGAAAATAATGTTTTCATAACATTGATTTAAAATATGAATGTAAAATCTGGCCTTGGCATGTCTTTTGTCATTATAATTATTTTAATATTTTTAACATTTAAGGAATTTTAAAATTTCGAAAAGAAAAAAAATACTAAATCAAAGGATGTCAACATACATTTTTTATTAGTTTTGCAATGAACATGGCTTATCTGAAAGGTCGATTTTATGTTGAAAATTTAAAAGCAGCTGTGGCTTCTGACTGAAGGTTAAATCTTAAATTGACTCTGAAATGGGCAGCAACTGTCTATTAGAGAAACAATTATAGAAATATTTTTCAACAAGTGTTTCTCTAATATACAGTTGCCACCCATTTCACAGTCAACTCAATACAAATACACTGTCTAAACTGTTTATCAAAGAAGGTTTAATATGTGTTTGTATTGAGGAGTGGCTAATATACAAGGCCACTTTCAGGCTAATTTTGAGATTGTTAAATTATCTTTTCACAGTTCATTTCTTCCATCATTTAATTGATGCACCTGACTGGAGTATGGAAAATATAATTGAAAAAACAATAACATTTTAACTCCAGAAATCTTTTATTTTTGGTTCCCTCCTATTAATTGCAGATTATTCAAAGTATAAATATGAATTATGTTCAAAAATATAAAACATCTAGAAGACTCATCAAGTTCCTTGTTTATTTCTTCTGTGGATGTAATGCCCAGATTAAAATAACCTCTAAACTTTTGTACACTCATGATGAAGTTATGAAGTGAAACACAGAATGATAAAACTAAATTTTCAGTGGAGTTAGAAGGCTTATTATTATTTATTTTAAGTCAGTTAATCTCTCTCTCTCTCTCTCTTTTTTTTTTACTTGTTTTCAAAATTTACAATTTAATAATGCTATACAGTGCACTTAGTACTTAAAGGTACATATAGTTATCTGTAAGTTAATTAAAGTATATACTGGATATATGTGTACAGTATGATGTGAAGCTACGATTTTGTCAAAGAAAAATCACATAAAAATGATTAACTTTTTCCATTTTTATTTTAAAAAAGTGCTTTTACAGTAGTAATTATTGATGAAATGTGTTATATTTTAGAAAAAGACAATCACGTTTACAAATGTATAAAATTTATTCAAGATAATATTACTTGAAACAATTAAAAAAAAAAGTAAAGCATAGAATATGTAAAGGATTTTACTTCAGAACAAAAACACAGTGATAAAAATTAAGCCAGAGAATTGTAAGCACTTAAATGCTACTGTCAAAAACTATGTTGAGCAGGTTAACATGATTTGACATGAAACATGATTTAGATCATATTAGTAAGAAGACAAATGAAAGTAATACTAAGTGTCACTACTTGCATAAGAATAAAACAGGAAATAATTTATGCTGTTTAAGTAAATTGTTTAAAGAATTTTATTCAGTTTAGTGTACACTTGTCTTGAATAATATATTAGAATTCTTCAATTACTGTAATATATTAAGTGATGACACAGCGGTTTACAGCTTTATGATGCTCTCACCTCGTATCTCTGATTAATGTTACAACAGTTATCTCATATAAGTTATAACATATAACAGTTATAACAGTTCAATGATATATATTAAAACATGTTATCAGTAGGGTTAAAAATTAAAGAAAAGCATCTCAAGTAGCATTTTAATTCTATATCAGTTTTGGTGAAGTTTTTTTTCATTAATAAAGTATAGTGAAGAACAGAATTAAAAAAAGTAAAACAGCAGTGGAAAAACAGAATTGATTGTTAAATGACAAATGTTTGATTCATATGATTCTCAGTCAACTGGCCCAATTGTGTAATTGTTGATAATAAAAGTGGTCCACCTGAGATCTAGAAATATGGAAAAGTTGAATTAGAATAAAGGGATGTGTAAGGCTTGCTCTGAAGAGTATTCTGTTGTGGCTTTTCTTTTATATGGATATAGTGGTCTTATTGGTTTTCTGTCTCCCCGGAGTTACTGCTCTGTCCATGTATTACAAAGATTCTGTGAATGTACCTGCTTTGTAAATGGTTGTATTTCTCTTCAACTGTTTGGCAATTTTATTAGTATCAATAGAAATTTATATGGCTTACTTTCTCTGCAAATGGTATCCCATCATTCTCACATCCACATGTACTACATTGACAGAACATTGAGCATTTTATTCCTTACACTTGCAAGTAAGCTATGAATCTGAAGCTTCTGTCATCTAAAATATGTGCAGTTTTGATGGAAAATATGCTGGTTGTCCTTACAGTTCCTCACAATTATCAGGATTTCAAAGTTTTGTAAAATAAAAAATGTATTTCTACCAGTTCTTTTCAGTTTCTTGAGTATATGAACACTGTTGTATTCCTCATACAGCAGTGCATATTCTGTGAAAATTGCAAGAGAGTTGAGGAAATTCCAGATGTATGCCTCTAGATGATGGAGTACTGTACATGGTCTGGATGACTGAGATTGTTAAAAAAATTAATATCAAAATATTTTTAGTGTGGATACTTCCAATGTTATATCCTGAATATTGTACTCACATTTTTATATACCCCTTTATTACATTTTACTAATAGATCTAGATGCAACAGATTGGATATTTAATTGTTAGTCTAGATTGGCTGTAATTAGAGATAGAGCTGGGGGATGAGAGGTATTTGATAATTGATTGATTGAAGGATCCGTTAATCAATTGCACTGAATTAGTATGCACCCTATACATCCCGCCTTCTATACAAGCAAACAAAACTAGATGTTTCCTATCATCATGATCCACCACTGCATTATCCTAACATGCTACTAATTTTCTTATCAAATACACTATTTCTTTTTAAGTAATCTTTGAATTATCATTTGTTTCTGAAGGTCTCCATTTGTGTATCTTGTGAAAAACATATTTTTTGTCTAATATTTACTATCATCAATAATGGTAATAATGCTTTTATTTAAAACACTAGTTGAATGCCTGTCATATGATGGTAAATGATGATTAATTTTTCCTCTGAAAATTAAATCTAAATAAATGTTTTGTGAACACTTGTTCTAGAAATTATATTATAGTAACAAATATGTATAAAGAATGTTTATTATGCTTTTCCAGGATTTCTCAAACATTTTTTGTGTAAGTGTTCCTTGGTTAGAATTTTGACTTGTGTATATATTTTTATGTTCAGATCTGCTTTTTTGATAAAGCCTTACAGATTGAACCAAGTGAACAAACTGGTTTTCAAAGAAATATTCCTATATGGTCAAATGTTTGACCCTACAATTTATTAATTGTGAGGGTGAAGGGCAAATGATCGAATATATAATTTTTCATAAAAAATGCTTATAAAGTTTTTTGACTAAATTTTTAAGAATCTCTTACCTAAGTTGATAAACATCAGTGATAATGTATTGTAGCACCATCTATTGGGTTGAAAAGATAATTAAGTTATATTTGACCCAAACAGTCACTGTTTTTTATATGTAATATGATACGACACCTGATTCAATTTATAATGGTATTCATATTTTTCCGAATATTCAAAGATCATGCTGTAAATATGATATAAATATTTAAAATATATAAAAAAATATCATAAAATCCCAACTCAACTGGGATTTGAACACACTGCTTCTACATGATAGTCAAGCACTATAACCATAGTGACACCCAGTCTTTGTAATCAAATGTTAACAACCCAAATTCCTAATTGAAACCATCATGTTTTCTGGTTTTCCTGATATTGTAAGATCTTGCTCTAAACATGATGAGTTAATAATTAAAAAAAATTAACATTTTCGCTACTGGGATTTGAATGCAAGACTTATGCTTGAGACTAACCACTGAACCAATCTGAACATTACCAACAAAATGAGCATTACAAACATCAAAGAAATATATATATAGATAGATAATCATTGAAATTAGAAATAATTAAGTTGCCAGTTTATTTGTGCAATGTTTCAATAGGATAAACATAAAAATAGGGTTCAATAAAGTTTGAGTCATCAGAATATTTCTTTTAGTTGCCTACCATACTCATTAAATAGTAAACTTACTGATTTGATGATGATTTTATTTTATTTGGTGAACATAATAAAGAGAAAAACCTCATGTTTAGAAACACTGCAATCCAATAACACCACAGTACATCCACTAAAAGGAGAAAACACCATAATTTTAAACAGTGAACCAAACACCAACACACTTCTATTAAGTCTTGAGCAATCTAGTCATATGACTTATTGTGTGTGTGTGTATAGTTACATATTTCTGTGTCTAGGTAAACTGCTTGTACCTGATGATGATAAAAACCTACATTTATTATTCTGTTAAATTTCTAGTATAGTGTTCAAATTACCTTTTCAACTCAACTCTAAACTGTATATTTCAGATATAATTTAACACATAGAAGTAACTTTCACAGTGGAGAAGTCCCCCACACTTTTTTGAAAGATGGAGTAATGTCTCCCACTTTTTGAGAATGGGAAAATGTTCCCTTCACATTATAACCCCTCGACGTGGATTCCTGTACGTGGTGAGGGGACCTCCCAGGGAATGTTCTGTATTTTCAGTTACTTTCTCTGGGATCTAAACATCCACCCACGTGTTTGCCGTGCTTGGCGACCCGTGAAGGGGAGGAGAGGATCCTGGTGGTTGAGTGGTGTCTGGGCACTGCAACACACCACTTTGTTCCCTTCACATTATATCAAAACATTTTTGTTAAATACCTTTACACATACCTCACCTACAGAAACTGTTGCCCTACTTTGGAAACCAAATCTACACCACTGATGTAACACACAAATACTTTCACAATTCACGCATGAATAGAATTGAAAGGATTGTGTACAGAAACTGTAAAAACACTCTTAAACCTATATATTTATTCTACTATTACATGATAGTCATATTTTTGCTGTGTTCAGTCATATTGAAACTTTCTTTATAGCTGTTTTCATTAATAAGTTATCAAATCACTTGATATAACAACATAAAATTTTGACCAAGGCCTATTTTCAGACTTCAGGCATAATAATTTAGAATTGGTTGCTTTTTAAACCCTAAACTGTGTACATGAAAATGTACCACACTTGCAATGCAACTGTGTTATTTAAAATTTAGAAACAATTAGAAAATTTATTTACTTATCAGTCACTTGTTGCAACAATACCATGTATGCTTTTTTTTGTACTTGTTATAACATACAATTTAGTATCGCAGGGCTCACACTTAACTTTTTTTAGAGAGCCAGCTGGACTGCCAAAACATGCAATTTTAGGGGCCAATCCTATAACTCATTGTAAAATGTATTCTGTAGTGCAGGTTATCAGAAAAATCCCTGAATTCAACAGTGAATGTTGCATAAATTAAAAGGACTAAAGATATCAACATTTCAAAATTTATTTTGTTGCCAGTTCATATCACATGAAAAAAAAAAGTCAAACCATTTCATTTTATTCAGACCAATGAAATGATTTTTGTTTCATATATGTTCTTTCATTTCTCTCTAAAGCATGGTATAACAGGAACTTTTTGTTCGCATCTAAAGTAGTGTTCTTTTCTAATCAACATAAATAATGAAAAAAAATCTTTGCATCACTGTTAGTGTAATCTATTCTTGTTCACATATAACCCATTACCATTTAGGTGATGCATTTATCAATAAAATGTCAAGCACTTTTGATGGAGAGAGAAAATTATACAATTTACATTACCACTCACTTTATAGCAATCAGTTCTTTTATATCCTGAAACAGCTCTTATTTAGTCGTTCATGAATTTGAATTTGTAATACGCAAAATCCTCAAATTAACAACATATGGAAAATGTGCAAATAGCTCTGAAATGGCTTATGTGGTGATGAGTTAAACTTAATTTAGTGTCCTTTCCTAATCAAAATAAATCATGAAAAGAAATCTAGTATGCATCAGTGTCAGTGTCCAATGATGCCTGAACATCAATTTCTTGATTCTTCCTTCGTCCCCCTCCTGCACCTACTTTTCGATCTGGACCCAACCAGTGTTTGGTCTCCTTGTGCGAAGTGATCCTGAGTTCCAAAGATGGATAACTCAAGTGGTGAAGTTGGCTCATGAATCAATTGTGGGAGGACACCTAGGAACAAAGAAAATGACAAACAGAATCACCAGTAACTTCCATTGGCTGAGAGTCATCGGAGTCATCCTTGTGCGAAGTGATCCTGAGTTCCAAAGATGGATAACTCAAGTGGTGAAGTTGGCTCATGAATCAATTGTGGGAGGACACCTAGGAACAAAGAAAATGACAAACAGAATCACCAGTAACTTCCATTGGCTGAGAGTCATCGGAGATGTGAATAGATTCTGCAAGTCATGTGACATCTGCCAAAGGACAATACCTAGAGGGAAGGTAGCCAAAGTGCCATTGGGGAGATGCCTCTCATAAAAGAGCCATTCAGCAGAGTAGCTGTGGACTTGATCGGGCCACTAGTGCCTATGTCCGATAAGGGCAACCAGTATGTTCTGACAGTAGTCGACTATGCAACACATTACCAGGAAGCAATAGCACTGGTGAAGATAGAGATAGAGAGAGTAGCAGAAGCCCTCCTGGAGATATTTTGCAAAGTAGGCTCTCGGAGAGAAATCCTGAGTGATAGAGGGACCCAGTTTACTTCAGAACTGTTGCAGAAAGTGAACAGACTCGTCTGTTCTTGGCAACTCTTTACCACCCCATACAATCCTAAATGTAATGGACGTTGCAAGAGAGTCAATAGAGTTTTAAAGAGTATGCTAAAGAAGATATACCAAGAGAGACCACATGACTGGAATAGGTACTTGCAGGTGGTATTATTTGCTTATTGAGAAGTCCCACAAGCAAGTACAGGATTTTCACTCTTCGAGTTACTCATAATTTCAATTAACTGATTGTTGAAATAATCAAAAACAGTAATAATTGGAACAGCTAATTTTGAATAATTGGTTATTTTGTGAGAATTGATGTAATCGTAGTTTTGATTGATTGTTGAAGTAATTGAAAACAATCATAACTGGAAATTCTAATCTCGATTAGTTGATTATTTTTGTGGCATTAATCTATTAGTTTATGAGACACTCATCGATGAAACCTCTGCTCGTAAGTAATCAGTCAATTTGCTCAGCTCTAATTAGAGATGAGATGAAGCAGGGTCCATTGTTATTTGACTGAAATAGGTTGTCACAAACTATTCTGGTACTGCATATATGTAATACATTTAAAGTAATAAAATATGTGAATCTTTGTTTTTATGAAACATTATCTGTAGAAGCTACTTAACGATGAACATTTGAAACTTTTTTTAACAATAAGATATTACAGTGTAATACTGTAAAGACAGTATCAGAAAAGTTATGAGGGAGAAAAGTTGCATTATCCTTTAAGAAATGTTTAAGTCATCTATTGAGATGAATCTGTAGATAAATCATATTAAAGACTTTCATGTTTTGTATAGGGTATGAGTGGTATTTCAGAGTATTACTGATTTAAATTTTGATCAAGCTGACTTGTACAGTAGAAAGCAAGATGATCTTGCAGTAAACAGTGTGTTTCAAATCGTTTCTTTGAGTTGAATGTTAAAAGTTAGTAAAGATGTGAATTTTTTTTTTTGATTCAAGTATCTCACTATTAACTCAGTAGAATCTCAAGTATAAAGAAGTTGCTACATTAGTGTAACTTTATTTTGTGTGAGATGTAAAAGGTTGTCCTATTACAACATTATGATTAATGCTGTAACTTCCTGTGCTTATCAATATTAAATTCTGATAAAAGCAAGCTACTCGTATTTGGTTATTGTATATTTGAGCACAGTTAAACATGGATGAAGATTTCTTTCATTAACAAAGCTTTTGTTCATTTAATTTTTTCCTATGTTGTAGCATTCAGAGATATCGGTGTTTGAAACAAATATCAGATTCATCGGAGGGCTTTTGTCATGCTATGCGCTATCTGGAGATGTGGTAAGTAATTTTATTAATGTTTTTTTGTTGTTGCTTATGGTGTTATGGTGAAATTAGCGAACCATTTTTACCTGTAAAAAGACTATTGTAAAATTTATTAATATCACATCAGCTGATTTTCATTTTAATCAATCATCATTAATGGAACAAATGAAGATGACAATTATATTGTATTTTCAGCAATTAACTGACAACATGGACTGAGCATGGTTAGTGATGAACTGTGGATCTAAGGTTCCATGATTCATGGCCCAGGGGTTAGTGCTGAACTCTGGATTTGAGGTTCTGTGGTTCATGGCCCAGTGGTTAGTGCTGAACTGTAGATCTGAGGTTCCATGATTCATGGCCCAGTAGTTAGTGATGAACTGTGGATCTGAGGTTCTGTGGTTCATGGCCCAGTGGTTAGTGCTGAACTGTGGATCTGAGGTTCCATGATTCATGGCCCAGTAGTTAGTGATGAACTGTGGATCTGAGGTTCTGTGGTTCCTGGCCCATTGGTTAGTGCTGAACTGTGGATCTGAGGTTCCATGATTCATGGCCCAGTGGTTAGTGATGAACTCTGGATTTGAGGTTCTGTGGTTCATGGCCCAGTGGTTAGTGATGAACTGTAGATCTGAGGTTCCATGATTCATGGCCCAGTGGTTAGTGCTGAACTCTAGATTTGAGGTTCTGTGGTTCATGGCCCAGTGGTTAGTGCTGAACTGTGGATTTGAGGTTCTGTGGTTCATGGCCCATTACCTCCAAAAATAGAAATTGCATTCTTCACTTTGAGGCTATTGGTATATTATAAGAGTTGATGGTCAAATCGCATTATTCTATTTGACAAGAATAGCCCAAGAATTGGCAGTAGGTGCTGTTGAATACATGCCTTCCCTTAATAAACAAGTCATTGACATTTCAAGATATATTTTCCAAATCAAACTTTATCAAAGATAATGAAAAGTGATGTATTGTCCCAAATTGTATATCCTCTTTGAATGTGGATCCCTGTGTAGTGTGTTTAATTTTTTCACAATTTTCTTTTCGGTTTCTGCTTTTATAAATTAAAGTTTGCCTTAGTAATATTAGCAAGTATTTGTTATTATGGGCATTCTCCAGTGCACTGATTTCCATTAAAAGTACTTGAGTAGGCTTTGCAGAATAACAGGAGGTTTGATAGAAAATGTATTGTGGAGTAGATCTGAATTCCCTGACTGAGTTTAGAAGAATGAAAGTGCCTTTTTTGGAATCTCCAGTAATTTCTGTGAAAAAACAAGGTTTTGTTGAGCCATCTCACGCTGAGAAAACAACATTGTATACACAGGAAAATAATGTTATTTTTCTCTGAGTGTGTAATATATGACACTGTCATTCATATAAAAAAAAACAAGCTGAAATACATGTCAACTGATGGGAAATGTTTAAACTTAATTAATGCAATGTAAGTTTAACAGCATTCATATACTTCAAAATAATAACTTGAACAAAAACTTTATCTCCAAATTTTAAAATTATAACAAAGCTTCTTCATAAACAACATTTGGAGTTTGCTTTCCATCTACCAACAAATATAGATTTTGAGATGATCACACCCTTGAACACCCTACATCTCATTGACCATGAGAATAACATGGTTGTTTGAGAAACAATCCAGCAACTTTCATACTTTGACCTTGAATCCCTTTAAAATATTCAACATTGTCTAAAGTATCGACCTGCCAAGATTGTTTGCGATTGACTCAACAGGCTTGGAGTAACTAACCAACAGGCTTTCCAAAATAGAAATAGTGTTAAGTTCAATTCTGACCCCATTAGGACATTCCCCATAGTTTGTAGTGTTTACATACAAAATTAAGTTGAGATAAAGTATCATCTGATCTATAATTGGAAAATATCACTGTCTGCTTTCAAATTGTATGTTTTAATTTACAGAAATCTCGTATGAGAAGGCACATATAATAGCCTATATGAATGACCCAGTACAATAGATAATTAGGATAAAAGAAGCTTATCTACTTCCTTGACCAGTGTTCTATGTTAAAACTATGTACACTGTGTGTAAGAAAATTTTGAATAAAAATGAAAACAGTATCATAAAGTACTGGTGAAATAAATGTTAAACAATAATTAATTAAATTGCTTAAAATAATTAAAGAATAAGAAAAATCAGATTTTAATATATTCTAGCTATGATAAGGCACAGCAAATTTTACAAAATAATGTTAATGGCAACTCGTGTTAATTTTTTTTTACAAAATGTGTTAGCTAGCTGATCATGAGATTGCCATGTACTTTCAGATGTATATAAAAGTGAACAGCAGTGTATTATTAGTTTGAACAACAACAGCAGTGTGTATGTAAATAGATCCACATTGATAATGAAATACAGCAGGACTGCAACAAAGACATTTGAACGTATCCATTATGTCGAGGGCAATTGGCTGGTTATAAGCTGCTTAAATGATGACAATGTTTTTTACAAATTGGTTATAAGTTTTACAAAGCTTAAGTGACAGGAGGTGGACTCATTTTTAGACCAACAATACAGTTGGTCAGAGTCTTGGCCAGATTAGACCATTGTTGACAACCATACAAGATGACTGCTGTTTGACAACATGGATTTTAAGAAATGGGTGGGCCTTAGCTTCCCAACTGAATCAACAGGTCAGAGTAGCAACTGGGTGGGAAATGAGCATGCAAATAGTCTGAAACAGGCTTCATAAAGGTTGATCTTTATGCCAGACTAACTTGTTCCACGAAACAGTCTGTTGTCAGTAGTGTCAAAATATGGACTTGTCAGTCAATATGTAGGTGTATGTCTTACTTGTAAATGACTTATGCTTTATGTTACAACCAAATATGACACATACAAATTTGAAGAGTATCCCAATTCATATACAACCACAGTTTCCCAGAGTAAAGATATCCATATAGCTGTGTGGAAATACTGATAATACAGCACACTCACCTTTATGTGCAGTGACATGATACTATAAATGCTGTACAATGTAGGTATACAATTTTAAAGCCATTAGTGTTGCCATTTTTGGTTAGAACTTTCTTCTGGTGAATGGTAACACATACTCCAATGTGTTCAACTACTTAGCATGCTTATCAGTGCTGACTTTGATGGAATTTGTATGAGATGTTCCAGAAAGATGCTTAACAGCACTTGATTCACCTCTAAACAGTTCTGAATGAAGTGATCCATACTCTACCCCTTGAAGCTGAGTTATTTAACCTTACCACTTCAATATAGAACTTCCACTAGTGTCCACAGTCCCCATATATTTTACTAACAAATGTTCTGTGATCATTTATTGGGCTGAAATTTTTGCAGTACAGAATGAGCATTTGTAGTACACATTTGCTTAAAATTTCATGACTTCTCTCCTGATGCTTGTTTCAAGTGAAAGTAATTCCCAAGGATGCTACTGATATTATTTAATATCAGTGGCTATGCCTTTTCGTAGCCAGGGTATATAATACTAATTATTCAATAATTATTTTAAGAGATGTAAAATGTCAATAATTTTTAGTTTCTTTTTTTTCCTTGATATTTTGGATTGAATTTCTTATAAGCAAATTGATGATATCAGAATATTATAGACATATCATATATCATCCAGGTAACTGTGAGCAAAGGAATGGTTTTAACCATGCTAAAACATGTATACAAAGTGGTTAAATTTAAAACTGGGTTTATGAGCCCATTACTTCACTTTATAAAAAATGTTTGGTGAAATTGTAAAACTTAACTCCACTCTTTTAAAGCCATTTTGGCATTTGGTCATCTTTTCCAATATAAATTATTATACATTCTAAACTTAAGTTTTATGATGAATGGCCAAAATGTGGAACAGCTTTACTGTTACACTTCAGTATAAATGCTTCATTGTATTCACGAACAACATCTTTTGGTAAAGTATCGTGAACACATTTTAACTTTAAAGATTCCATATTTTGTTGAACTGTATTGTTTGAGAGCTTATAACTGATCATTCCATTGAGAAATTATTCTAAACTAAATCTTGTATCATGATTAGTTTCTACTTGTGTTTGTATAAATATAAGTACATTGATGGTGACATCATGATATTAGATTTGATACCTTCAGAACATTGTTAAAGTACCTTAACTTGTTTCGTGTCCCCTAATATTCTATAAAAACAAACTCAAAGACAAAGACTCCTAGAATTTCAAAGATTTTTGATGTGTTTTTTACCAAGTTTTACAACTTTGAATTTAAATGACATTTCTTGACATTTTTGGAATTTGCTTATTGCAGTATTGTTATTTAAAGAATGATTATGTTTTATAAATTACATTTATTTTTTATTTTCTTAGATGTTCAAAGAGAAAGCAGATGAAATTGCTCAAAAACTTCTTCCTGCTTTTAATACTCCCACAGGAATTCCTTATGCTATCATTAACTTAAAAACGTAAGTTATGAGTATAAACCTCATGATTACAGTTTGTCTTCCTACAGTCAGTCTTATTTTGTAAATATGACTTCTTTACTTACTGCTAGTGAATTTCCAAAAACAGTTAAATGTGCAACTATGCTGTAACTATGTAATTATTCATCTATTTGAGGTAATCACAAATTAAGCCTCTTTTTTTTTTCATCTTATATCCTAGTGGATCAATTGACCAACCATTATGACCTAAAAGTAGTACTGTTGAGCCAAAATATGTTTGTAAAGAAATAGATTTTATCATTGTGTGACGTTTCTTAGTGATAATTTGGCAAAGTAACCCAATTACCTTAAGAAGTCAGAATATCCTGTGACCTGACCCCATTTTAGGGCAGGTGTAATACCAATTGAACATACTATAGTCAGTGCCATCTCAATAACCTAGCCCACCAGTTATTTCTGGTAACAGTCTAAGTGAGGCCAAAGGTTAATAATTCAAGGTCAAATGTCAAATTTCTACATATAAAATAAGTTATACTTTTATATCACATGGAGGTCATTGAGGGTCAAATATCTGGTGACCTTTTACATAAAAACTGTTTGACCGTAGAGACATGAAACTTGGTTCAATCTTGTATCTCTGTGGTAACAACATGCCTATCAATTACCACTATGATTGGAAGAGGTCAGGTCAGAAATCTTCGTGAAGTGATTGATGTGGACTGGCCCAGATTGTTTTTAGAAAATCAAGATGAAAAATGTGAGGATGATAATGATAATTGTTTAGACATGAGCTTGCACTGAGTTTTCAGTATTGGTCAGGGAAACTTCCTGTTATTATATTAACTTTTTTGTGTGTTATGTATGTGCTCTGTTTTCCTGAATTAAAGTTTGAATCCACAGTTTGTTATTCAGTGTAAAGAATTGACCAAGGCAACTATGTAAGATAACTAATTTTATATGTTAAATACATAGGAATCCCCAGTTGTAAGTAGTAAAATTAATTATAATATTTATGGTATTTTTAGTTACATTTTTGAATGACTTGTGTTGTTGGAATTGTGTGCCAACAAAACTATTTAATGTATATGTTGCTTAGAAAAATATTTAAAATCGTGATCTAGGTGGATCCCATCGGTAATTGTGGGGGGTTAACTTGTATAAAACAATTAAATTCAGTTAGCAGATTTTAAAATAAAATTTAAACTAAAAAATTAGTTACAACAAAAACCTTTTGAGACAGGAAGATGTTCATTGATTTTTGAAAGCTAATTGAGTTTATCAGAGTAACTATATATTATTTACAACAATCATATATCAATCATGTATGTCGTGGACATTTTAAATTTTTTACAGAGGTACTAGCAAGAATTATGTATGGGCATCTAGTTCCAGTTCTATACTAGCTGAATTTGGAAGTCTTCATCTTGAATTTATCTACTTAAGTGAAGTCACTGGCAATCCTGTATACAAAGAAAAAGTTACAAAGATCAGAGAAGTCCTAGCTAAAATGGAAAATGCTCAAGGCCTTTACCCAAATTATTTGAATCCCAAAAGTGGCAAATGGGGTCAGCGTAAGTGTGTCACTTTGCTACTTGTCAAAAATCAGTTTGTTTTCAACAGAAAGTAGTGTCCTGGCTCTTGTCTTCATCCACAAGAAACAGTTATTAGTAGTAAATCTGCTGTTTAACAACAGATTGAGGAAATGTCATATCTGTTATTAATTCTTCAGATGTTGCTTCACAGAATATTTAGCTGCCAGCAGACATATTCAGTTTCATCACTGCTCTCTCTCTGTTTTTTTTTACAAAATAATAACAACATAAGTTAAGAGAATGTATTCACGTAACATTTATACTAAAGAAACATTATCTTTATAAACTTATTCCTTTTGGCCCATTATTACATTTTCTCACTATTTATCTATTAATACTTTTTCATTTGTTGAATCTTCTTTTGTTAAGTATGGCATTCCTTTAGCTTATAGAAACCAGCTATTATTCTTAATCTTTACAGATCTTTCAGTGTTCATCTCTCTACAGTTTTATTTTTTTGAATAGAATCATACACTAATTAATTTTCTTATGTCCCATAGTTTTAAGCTAAGGTTTCATAACTTATTTTATTTAAAAGTTGCATTTTATTGGCAATCTTGTGGCTTAGTTTTCTGAGCATAATTTTTTTGTGTAGCATGTCAAATAACTTAATGGTCATTGTAATTCAGAGATTCCATATAACACCTATCCTCTGTTCACTCATAAGTCATGTTTTTCTGTATTAAAAGTGTTCAAGTGATTGTAATGAAATTTCAGAAGATGGTTATTTGATATGCTCCAGATATCAAGAAAAGGGAATTTTATTTGTAAAACATCATTTTTTTTTGGTAAATGGTTTCATCATAGATCAAAGAAAATTTCTCTGATTTTTTTCAGCTGCGAGATAAACAGCTACTTTTTCTTTGTATCTGAAATTGAATAATATATAAATGGTTTGTAAGACAGAGAAAATGTGATCAACATATGAATGAAATTCACTTTATTGAATCCGTATGGAAACATCTCCACATTTTCTTTTGTTGTATTAAATATTCGTAGATCAAACAAGCAGAAGTTTAATGTAGGAATTTTACATTATTGTAGCAGGTAGTAAGTATTTTCGTGCCCACTTTCCCTGTACATTTTATGACCTAGCAGTAAGCATGCATGGACTGTGTATTCAAGGGTTCATAGTTCATTTTCCATTGGTGTAAAAACGTGTTCGTCATTTTGGTAAAATCTCACAATTTAGTCAGATAAGAGTAGCCAAAGAGTTGAAAATGGATACTGTTGGCTAATTGCCTTCCCTCTAGTCTCTTGTGTAACTTTATTGGAAAGATTTTTAAACAAACAAAAGTTCATTTTCTTGATAATAGGTCATATTTCTTTGGGTGCTCTTGGTGACAGCTTTTACGAATATCTGTTGAAGGCTTGGATTCAGTCTGGGGGGAAAGACCAGCAAGCCAGGCAGATGTATGATGAAGCAATGCAGGTATGTAGAATAGTGCAATATATTTGGTAATGTGGAGTCCAGAAAACACTACGTTTTTCTGTATTTCTGAAGCTATAGAACTAACCTCACTTCCTGAAGTAAAGTGAAATTCTGCAGTTTTGCCCTTAACATATTTGTGGGAAAAAGAAGAAATGATAAAGCTAATTAACCCTCTCACTATGGGCTCAGTCCCACGAATGGACCTTATAACCATTTTGTGCTTGTTATAGTTTTCATACTAAATTTGGCAGATTATCATTAAACATAACAAGGCTTTCGTACACAAATTATCAGATTTTTAATTTAAGTTTTAAGATTTTTTTTAAATTAAAGATTTGCTCGTGTATTTTTTCTGTTCATATGTTGATAATTCCACATGCAAAGTAATTTTGACTTTAAGATTAAAAATACCTCTATGCATCAGAAAATTGTCAAATTTCATTTGCGAAATATCTGTAACCTCCTAATAAAATCAAGATAAATATCAAACATTTTAAAAAAAAAACCATAAGATAGAGATAAAATATAATCTGTTATTATCTCGTATCTGTACGGGTTTGGTAGAAGTAACTGACCTTGTAACCACCATAAAAATTAGGAAATAGATCTCAATTACTATTTTTTCATTTTAGAATGACTCCAAATTCCAACATGAAACCACAAATGTTTATTCTAAATAGCTTAAATTTTGGAATATTATATTTTTTATTTGATTGACCTTCCAGCTGTGTCCAACTAACATTATAGTATTTTGTAAAATACAGTCACATTTTGTTTATAATACATTTTATATATATGTGTATACATTATTATTATTACTATTTACAAATACATTATTAAAGTTCAGTTATTTTTCTTCAAACATAGAACAGTAAGTAAAGAAATATAGAAAACAATGATCTCTACTACTTACGACTGTAAAGGAGTTTGTACTTGCTTGCTGCACTTTGAATGCTTAAGCCTTGC